AACAACTGAGTAATAATAGAGGCAGAGTGTTGCTGCATCACAGCTCCAGGGTCACTGACTCAATCCTGACCTTGGGTTACTGTCTGTGTGGAGTTTCACATGTTCTCCCAGTGTTTGCATGGGTTTCCTCGAGGTTCTTCCATTTCTTCTCACCTCCCAAAACATGCCAGTGTGTGTTTATACTCTAAATTGAGGTGTGAATGATGCGTAGTGTCCTTTCTGGACTGCCATCCTATCCTGCATTGGACTGGCAGGTGTATTACTGCCTCAAGTCCAGCATTCCCATGATAGACTCTGCATCCACCATGACTCTGACCAGGATAAAGCAGATAAGGCAGAACGTAGTAAAGTTAAAGTTAAAAAAAGGACCTGAAATACCCCCCTGACATATCACGTCACTCTATCTAACTTCTAACTTAAACTCCTGGAATCTGTCAGTGGGTCCATACATAAATTTAGTAATTGCGCACATTTCCTTATTAGTGAATAAATTCATACTGCTCCCTGAATATTATGCTTTAAGACAAAACTACCGAATACTGATATAAGCGTGGGTTAAAGCGGAGATCTGCCTGCTCTGAGGAATCAGTTGCAAAATGGCGCCAGTTTGCATTATTTAACCTCCAGTTTGCACAGGATGCCAGACCGTTTTCATTTTCGTTTTCGTCTTGGAAACGTCAACTGAAAATGGAGTAGCAGATTATTTCCAGTTTTCCAACTTTACATGTCAAATCAGAAATCTCATAACGGGTCATGTCCGATTTTCCATTTGCAAAAGTACAAATGGCTGAAATGGACTGTAGACGGTCCAGAAATCAATTTCTTATAACATTTGTGATATCCATAATTGTCCATAAATTCTATCCTAATGGACAAGAAGAATGTTTTTTTTTCTTTCGTCCATCTTTCTCTTTTCTCTCCGGTTTTACAGGAAAAACCTGTGGGAAGTGATAAAGCTGGTTTTAATTTAAACACAGATCCATCATTGTGCCATCCACAGCTTTTCTTTGTTTGAGGCAGCATCTCTGCGTATCTCTCATTAACGTGCAAACAGAGATGAAGGATTAGTGTCAGTATTTGAGTTCAGTAAGTTCAGTAAGCATGCACAGTTTGTACTGTATTTGTGTGTATGTGCGTATGTGTGTGAGTTTGTATGGTTTATGACTCCGCGGTGTGGTTAAGCGTGCAAAGAAGATTAAAGGAAAAGAGGCATGATGGTGTTTGAAGTCCTCATCTAGGTTAGAGCGGGTGTCTAGTTAAATGTTGGTGGTCCGGCGTTTGGAATACGAGGAGAGCGTTGTGAGACTCTCCGTCTCTGACATGTCAGTCTGAGATATTCTGTCTGCTTTATTTTACCGACTGTAGCTAAAAAAACCCTTGTTCTAGTGTTTTCCACTCCATCTCACCCCACCCTCGGTATTCAGAATGCATCAAGGCTGGATAAGTTATTTGCACAGCAAACAGCGATGTTTGACTTCAAACTCCAACCATCCACTGAGTGACATGGATTGCAGTTTAAAAAAAAAAAAACTTTATGTTTAGCTGTAATAGCACCTGTAACTCGGACACAACTTTGAGTCAACAGTCTTCATCCAGGAGCCTGTTAAATTTCACAAAAAGACCACGGCTTTTCCGAGAGGCCTGTGTTATAAAGTCAGTACGAGGTAGAGGAATCTTTATTAGCCCCTACACTGGCTGGTGAAACTCGTATCTGGAGGTTAAACAAAGATCAGACGGCCAAGAGAATGTTCAGGTTGTGCCTATAAACTAACCCATTCTTCTTTTTTTTTTAAATTTGCTCTACTGCAATCAGATGTCATGCCTCATTCAGGCGTTCCAATCCATCATACATGCATATAAGCGATCTCAGAAAGAAGGCTGTTGCGCAATTCTAAAAGCAGACAGCATTGGCCCGAGGACAGCAGGTCTGGCATGAATGGTCAATTCACCATCTGCATTCCATCAAACTTTTCAGGACAGAAGAATCCCCTCATTCATGAACTGAAGTATCATTTCAGATTAAAACAGTCCTGACATGAATAGCAAGGAACACTCAGGCTTATTTAATGTTTCAAATGCCCTGCCTGCTTCCAATAAAGAATACAAGTACAGAATAAAACACTATATCATGCTGTTAGGGGAAAATAATCAATGCTGGGGTGGGGTGATGAAGTGGAGTTACTGTTATGGCCCCGAAGTTGATCATTTTATTATCACAGCACGTCTGGAAGAGTTGTATTTCTCTTATACCACAACACTTTCCAACAATTATCAGGTTATAGTTACCTCAGACTGTTACAAAGTGCTGACACTGGAGACTTCTTTCATAAGAAACAGCATGAAACAGAAAACGTCACTGCATAAAGCTACGATTTATACATTTTAATCTTTTGGCTCTGGTCAGTTCGGTCGCTGCTGACAAATATTTATGGACACCTTATTATAATAGCCTATGAGTGTTGATTGAATAAATAAGGAAACATACTGTATAGGATACAGCATATATGGAGATATACAGTGGGGTCCAAAAGTATGAGACCACACTGAAAGTCTGGGATTTAAAAATAAATAAATTAATTAATTATATAATTAATTAATTTAAAAATACATTTAAAACTGAAAATAAATAGAAACTGTCTATTTACATTTCTACATGAGTTAAAATACAAAAGACCAGTTTTTACTAAATGTCATGTCGGCATAGCCCAAATGCATTTGTATTCTTCATTTTGTCCTATGCAATATTTTTGCGCCCACCTGTATATAAAGCTGTATATAATATATATCATAATTATACGGTATAACATTTCTGTAAAAAATGTAAAAGCAGAAAGGCTGTAATATCACTCTGAAAGAATTCAAAGCTGAGTTTAACCCCAATGTGTCCGATCACACTGCACTTTTCAGTGTATAAGCCAAAACCACAGCTCGAAGCCTCCTCACTGCACCCGGCTACAAAACTGTTGGCTTGGCACGAGCCTAAAACTGTAATTTGAAGGAGAAGCTGTATTTACACTTGACGCGGCAGACAGAAGCAGCCGTTCCAGACGCCATTATGCTGCGTGGTACGTGGAGTCACGTGGAGTTCACACGCTGACAGACCCACATTGAGCCTCGTTTAAGTTACTCTGATGTAGCAGCACTCATCCTGCTTATTTCAGATGTTGATCCAATCTGCTATCGTCAACTCCGAAATTATTGGCACCCTTCATAATTTGGAACGAGTGAAAATGAAATAAGTCTTAGAGAAAATATAAAATCTTTTTTATTCGGGGAAAGAACTCACCCTTACTTTAGCACCAAAATAATTCTTGCAAGTCTCTGCAACCTTGTTAGACGTTGCAGCAAGAGACTTAGTGCTGGTATTAATTGTCAGTGGTGCCAATAATTATGAAAGTAGCAGAAGAAATGAACATACTCAAGACAACTTTATGTTTGACAGAATGTGTTGAAATAAAACTGTACATATGTTGAAACTCATAGCATGTGATAACAGAAATGAACTTGTTTCACGGAAATTCCGCTACATTAAATGTAACTATAAATGGATAAAACGTGTAGCCTGTCATTTTTTAAGAAAGAAAATTGTAATTGTTAGCAAATTGCTCTGGAATAAGAGGAAAAAACACTTCTTGGTTGCATCAGTGACTCCATTTCATCACACCACCCCATCGTTGATTATTTTCCTGTAACAGCACTACACAGAACATTACTCTGTATCAATCCAAAGATTTAAAAAAAAAAACCTCTGTGTGTGTGTGTGTGTGTGTGTGTGTGTGTGTGTGTGTGTGTGATCAGATATGGTACTGATCCCAAACAAGCGTCCTACTCAGAGAGGTTCCTGCTGCGTTTCCTGCTTGGCTGGTCTCACACTCGTGTTGTGATTATAAGCGTTTGTAAATATGTACCCACACGGCGAGTGACTCACTGAGCAAACACTCGCAGCCACCTTGTTTCTTTTTTTTTTTTCTCCTTCGGAGTGGTTCTCATCAAATGATTTGAAGGAATGCAACAGCGATGGGGAAATATTTCAGCAGAGTTCAAGCTTGCTCAAGTGCCTCTCTTGCCTGTGTGTGTATGTGTGTGTGTGTGTGTGTGTGTGTGTGTGTGTGTGTGTGTTTTTTCCCCTATTGATCGTACTTCAGATCAAAACCAAAACAAACCCTTGGTTCCTACGCAACGAGCCAGATATTTGCAAAGCTGCCATGGCTGTGGTGTAACTTAGCTGAATTGATTGAGATTTGATTGTTTTACTGCAGGGCACTGCCACGAGTGTAAAGATTTTACAGTTCTGTTCTCGCTCACTTGTGTTTGACAACAAAATAATGTCCGCTGACGTCATCAGGTAGCAACTAAGGTAAAAAATCGTGCCTTAGAAGAAGAGCCATAACCAGGGTGGAAATCTTAGTGAGGTCAACATTACGGAAATGTGTTATAGTTAATATATCTACATCAACTGCTAATTTTTAACCTCTGTTATGTTTCCTTATATAATTATATTGAGTTAAATAGTTTGGCTTCCGTGACAGCCTAAGTTACCTGTTGCCACCAATAATAGGAGATTTCACAATATCTTAGAGGTATTTCATAGTTCTTAAAAAATGACACAGTGTACTGGCTTCATATTAAAGGAGCACATAGTATCAGTCATCCTTTGCAAGAATATACCATTTATTTTGTCTACCTATCAAAATTGACAATTCAATTCAATTCAGTTTATTTGTATAGCGCTTTTTACAATGTCATTGTCAAAAAAGTAAGATGAAGTGTGAGAGTGTGTCTGAAGAGCAAGCCGAGGCGACGGTGGCAAGGAAAAACTCCCTGAGATGGAGACAACATATCTTAATTTCTTACTTTATTTCTCCTTGCAAATTTTTCAAAATTAAAGAACAGAATAGTAGAGATCTTACCATTAATAAATTATCTGTTTTATGTAGATATCTGCAATTGAGATGTTCATTATTTTTTAATATTATAGCCTATTTACTTTAAAAATTGGGTCCCTGGAGGACTAGTGGTTAGGCCACAGCGCTCTCAGCACTGCAGCCTGGGTTCAATTCCTGGCCAGGAGCAGTGTACTCTCATTGCCAGTCCTAGGCCCTGATAAAATAAAAACTGTCAAATTGAATACATTGATACATTTTTAACCAGTGATCCGCTGTGGCGACCCCTAACGAGAACAGCTGAAAGAAGAAGATGTATTAACTTTAAAAAGTGGCAAGTGGCAACAAGTGCATGGTGGTTACAGTAAAACCCTGTATAAATGCACAGACAAACAAAACTTTCTGAAACTACTGAGGCTCGGACCTCAGTGTCCTCATGGTTATAGCCATGGTTAGAAGATACTGGTGCAAATTACTGGGGGATCGATCAGGATTTGTCAGGAGGAGTTGATTCATTTTGTATAACAGCAGGTTTGAGAGTAGTGCAGCTGCAAATTACATTCCATTAATTGAGAGAATAACATAAGGCACCAAATGTCACCTTTTTTTTCCTATTTAATTTTAGCCTTTGAGGTGCTTGTATTTCAACCTTCTATACTACAGTTATATGCAAAGAAGAAGCTTAGCTGATTTGTACTTTTCACTGAAGCATTCTGCTCAGCTGTGCCTTGTAACCGAAATATTAGTCAAAGTGCAACTTGCTGATTCACTACATTCTTTCAATGCCATCTGCTGCTTTTACTATCGTTCCTGTCAGACACAAGTTCATTCACCCTGAATTATTCTGGCCACAGAAAGCTAACCCTAAATGTCTACCGTTTGAAATGGTACGTGATCTAACTATCAAAGTTGTGTTTGATGCTAACAGAAAGCCAGAGTGTAAAGAAAAAAATCCACCCTGAGGAAATTCTGAGGTTCTTTTGAATTCTTCAGTCTGATTGGTAAGATGGTGTTGATTAGTTTTCTATAACAGCAGCTATGACCGTAGTTTTGGCTGTAATTCAAATCACATTATTATATTACATTAATGTGCAAATTATATTAATGTGCTTGTTTTAATACGTTATTGTTTCTACTGTAATGATTTACACAGGGACTTGGTATGGCAGATGCTCAACATAAAGCTTAATAATAAATTATTTTTATTATTATTATTATTTACAAAGACAAATATGGTGTTTAAACAGTATGATTAATGAATAGATGAATGGATTAAATATAAATTAATAGATTAAAAGTGATTTGAGCACACACAAAGGTATTCGCAAGCATGGAGCACCAGCGTCTACACTCTACTCACCAGTCATGTTGAATTTTTGAGATTTTACCGGAAGGGAATAAGTCTTCCCAAATCTTCCCAATGCTGTGATTGGTCAGTCTCAACCAATCTCACTCAGATTAAAATTTCTACAATGGCAGAGATGAACGATATCACAGTAAATTTCATTTTAATGTTAGCTACATTTACAGCTGAATTAAATAAGTAGCTAATGTAGAATAATGTAATGTGTTTTGTTACTAACACGAACAAGTTTTTATTTATTTATTTATTGTTTTTATTCACAAGCCTATTTATCTGTTCAGTTCCTCTCCCCTGTCAGCGTCACTGCTGTCCTGAGAATGACATATGGAGTAGAATGTGTAGCTAGGTTAATTGTCTACCTACAAAAGTCACCTACAGTATATAGTAGGCTTGGCTAATAAATTAGCAATTGAGTGTGATGTATTCCAATGGAAAGTCAATATTTTTTAACATGGAGTGGTTTCACCAGAGATAAACAATATTCATTCTTATTTCTAGCTTCAGTATTCACATTGTGAATGTGTAATGCAAACACTTCCACCTTCTCTATGAGCGATCATTAATCTTCTCAGGTATAAAGGTATCACAGGCTTTTGTTTGGGATACAAAGACACCTTTTCTGCTCGTGGTTTTATCTACAGAAACCTTTTTTTTTTTTCCTGGCTCGCCACCACCACAGCATGTTTGCCCTACTGTAATCCCTCATCTTAACCCAGCTATACAACATAACCCCACTGCAATCATTCTTCTTCAAACAGCTGTATGTTATTGCACAACTTGCACTTCCATCTTTGCAGCATCAGTGAATCAGGTCAAAGGTTCTTCAAGAAGCTATGGGGGAAAATACGCTGATCCGCGAATGTGAAATAAACAACAGTGTGCTAACATGACCTGTTCATGCTGCCAGAGAGTAAACTAATAAAACAGTATGCAACCTCAACCTCAAACTTACAAAACCCCCCAAAAAACTGCTGCAGGATGTACAGTCTCAGTTTCAGAGCTCTAAAGAGACATCAAGCAAGGAATCAAATACTCCGTGTCATGCTGTTATAGGAAAATAATCAATGACACAACTGTCATGATGAAGCGGAGTTACTGTTACCACCCTGAAGTTGATTATTTTCCATTAACAGCACATTCCAAAGTGTTATATTCCTCTTATACCACAGCAAATCGCAGTTACAACCATCAATTACAATTTTTGATTAAATCAAAAACATCATACTTTTTAGTTGTTTTTTACTTTAATGTTGTGGAACATCCATGAAACAAGTTTCTGTTCTCACTTACGTTATAGCAGCTATAAACAGTCGCTCTCTCAACAGCCTCTTTTTTTTCATCTCTTGGCATTAATAAGATGAAAAATCACAAAGCACAACATCCTGTGGTGGAAGATATAAAGTTACAGGAGACTTCTTCCATAAATGTTACATATGCATTTTTTCATTACAGAAAACTTTTGTAACAGTTACGCACGTTTATTAATTGGTTTGTGTGGAAGTCCGCGTTTAGGTTGTATGCCTATAAAAGATAATGTATCAGAAACCAAGCTGACCAATCAGCTTTGAGAATTCAGCAGCACTGTGGTATAAACATTATTAGAGCAAACATTATTAGAGGATATTACCTCATTTGCTGCTTGAGGTAAATGCCGAAACACACAATACAAGGGAGCAGAGCCAAGACCTTGCGAGTAATCACCCATTGTTTGAACTTGAAGAAAAGCTCCCTGCACAGAGAGCAGTCTGGTAAAGAAGGAAAGGAAGACGTTTATATTACATCCAGTCATTTGAAAGACGCGGTGATCCAGAGAGTTCTAGCAGGCAATGTGAGAAAAAGTACACAGAGAACCAGGAAGCAACCTAATCAAATGCAAGTGTACGTTCTAGTATAGTGCCAACAATTTGGGTTTTATTCCTGGAGACTCTGTGGATGAATGATGATCTTTAACCAGATGACCAATCATCTGAGCATCCATGGCTGTAATTATTGTATCGATCCATGGCACTGCTGGTCATCACAGCCAACCATGGTATCATCTGCAGAACATTCAATGTCTTGTCATTTCAGCACCAGCTCACAAGAGACATCCGCTTGGCCTGACCTAAACCAGACTATTAAAAGTCATGTATGGTCCTCCTAGATATCGCATTAAATATATTGACCACAACAATGATCTTTGGAATGTTCAGTGCATAAATCTAGATGTCCTGTGACTGTCTGACAGCTTTTTTACTTTTTTTTTCTAAATGAGAGAGAATCAAATTTTCTACCAATTCAGTAATCCAACCTACTGGCTTGTTCTCGCTACAGCTACCAATCATTTTGAAAGCTAATGGACCCAATTTCTTTATACAAACATATTCATATAAATTAGAATGTGGTGGGATTTGATTTGATGTAGGAATGACTGCATAAGAAAAGGTGTGAATGGTAACCCCAGCTTCAACCTTAACCTCTAAACCTTTCATACAAATTGAGTTGTGCAAATTGCAAACGAATTTGCAAACGTGAGTTGAGGTTAACACAACTGATCATTTATCATTGTGCAACTGATCGTACAACATCACAATGCAGCTAAACATGTTTGGAGAAGATCAATGACTGCTCTATTTTGTATACATGACATCACAGATCCCCTCGATTGGCTAGTGACTGTCTTGGACTCCTGGCTACATATGGCTGCGGCACCATCCCGATTCAAGCTGGTAGCTCTGGGCTCCCTCTTTTGTGCTAGCATTCACCATGACCAATCACAACATCTTCCACCAAAGTGTAACACTCTAAGTCTGAATTGAATGACCATCCACCAGATTTCCAGAACTGCCTCAGTCCAACCTGACTTAAAATATTCCACATTGTTATTGGTCCATTTTAGGTCAGTCTTGGTCTGCTATTATCTAGCCCCTAAAACTACATCCTTTTGAGTTCATATTAAGTTTGACATCTTTTATATGAAGTTCAAATCCAGATTAAAAACATTCACTCTAGATAAAATCTTGACACTTGCATTACGGTGTTGTGGGAGGTCGATGGTTGTAAAGCTGCCATGGAGAGACGGATGTATTTACATTCGGAGAACATCTGGCTAAGCATCTCACACCCCATGCAGTGGTTTGAGGGATCGGATTTGACCATTTTAAATGTATCTTGGGTGCATTTCCACCTGCATGTTTATGTGGACAATCCCTATCGGGATATAATTCTGACAATCACTATGCGTGAAGCAACCAGGTGTAGATGGGGTCAAAAAGTTACAAAGCATTCACACAAGAAAAGAGATGATGGTGTAAATATCACGGAGTTGTGATTTCTTCTGTCTTCTCCTGATTCACCATGAGGTCGGAACTCCGGGTCATGGAGCACACTGACTGTGTGAAGGAACAAACACTGTGACAGGCTTCTGAGCAGTCGAACATGAGAACACATGAGGTTTATTCTCACCACCACTGCAGTACTTGTCCATGTGTCATCAAAACCAAGAGACACACACCAGTATTCCTGCAGCATAACTCACGCCGGAGTCTGGCCATGATTGCGTCAAATTTCCACGAGGGCGTCAGACGGAAAACAAAGTAAGCCCTCATACGTTCATTGACTTCTCCTACATTTTAAAATATTACACACACGACATATTCTGGCATTAAATGTATTTCAGAATGTAAGTCAAAAATGTTGCACATACATAATATAGGTAAGGAATAAAATGCTTAGGGGTGTGCTGTTATAGGAAAAAAATAAACTACAGGGTGGTGTGATGAAGCAGAGTTACTGTTATAACCCTGAAGTCAATTAAATTTTTTATACCTCTTATGCAGCATTACA